CACACACACACACATCCAGGTGTTTCTTCAGCTGTGGACACAGCCATAGTCACTTTTAGAAAGTCTTATAAAACACAATTTGACATGCTTACATAATTTTTTTCTGAAAAAGTCACAAACATTCTCAATGCAGCCTTATTCCCATGACTTCTCAAATGAATAGTGTTTCATTAACATTCAGTGGAAATAACATTAAATTATTTGGAATAAAATGGCAGACATCTGAGCAAATTTAATACAATAAAAACAATTAAATAAAAATGTTAATAATGACTAAAGAATTCTCTATATATATTATATACCATGAACTGATCAAATGCATAACGGAAAGAGTCTGCCAAATGCATAAATGTAAATGTACTTTAATTTTCTAGTACATGAATATATAATGTTGGTAACACTTAATAAGATTCCATTAGTTAATGCATTAACTAATATTAACTTGCAACGAGCAATACATTTGTTACAGTTACAGTTAATAAAAATACAACTGTTCATTGTTATTTCATGTCAGCTCAGTTTCATTGAATGATATTAACAGAAAAATTATTTTAATAATGTATCAGTGCATATTGTTTGATTTTTATAATGTATTAGTTAATGTTGAAATTAACAAACTCCAATTGATAAATGCTTTAGATGTATTTTTCATCGTTAGTTCATGTTAAATAATGTAGCTAACTAATATTAACAAATGGACTCTTATTGTAAAGTGCTGCCATAATGCCTTATATTTAGCACATAGCGTGTCTTTCACTGACAATCCTGTCTCTTGGCAAACAAGCAAACAGCATTTTATTTGGGGTAAAATGTTTGCTTTTTGTTTTAAAGAACAGTGCAACTTAGGCATAACCAGAGTTTTTCAATTTTGTTTGAATATAAAATGATTGGTTTGTTTGTCTATTTTTATTATAATTGCCATGTTAGGTATGAAAGATGGATATACTTTATAACCAACTCCTAAAAGTTCTTCGTGTTGTATGTTCCTGCAGATGCTCCTCTTCGCTGTTATGTCAGTGGCAGTTTCTACCTCTTCCTCAAGTCTTTCTTCCTCCAGTTTGGATTTCCAGACCTCAACACCTTCCAGTCTCTGATCCCTGTGGACAGGAGGCCTGAGGTACATCAGCGCTCCTCTATTGTTCGATCTCTTTCCATTGCAGCTCTTCTGATCCGTGCGTTTCCTCCCGCAGCTGCTGGGCTCCATCTCTACAGCCGAGCTGAGCGAGTTCCTGAACGCACCTCAGACGCTCGGAGACGGGTCGGGACTCTGCCATCTGCTCAGCCAGTACAACCAGACCGCACGCTATCTGGAGACGGTAGGTCTTTCAGATGCCCTTGAGCTGTGTTCCAGCACACGCTAATGTGCTTAAGCATCGTAGGTACACTCCGGACGACAAGACTGCACTGTTACGCTGCCATTCAACATTCCTCGTTATGTGGATATAGTTTGTTGCAACAAGCTCAGTGGAAAAAATTCAAGATGCTAGATAGAGAGTGTTGAGAAAGATGTCTCATTCAGTGCTAAAAATGTGTAAAAAAGATTCCCCCTATGAAGGTAGCTGTGAGCACCCTCAGTGCAGTACTTGTTTCGAGCACAAATATGGTGTATTTATATTGTTTTTCCTGGACGTTAAAGACTCTGCAGTTCAGAGTCTTTGTGTTCAGCTCTCCGTCTCTCTGTGTCCCGCAGGAGCCGCTGGGATCCGTGGGTTTGGCCCGGCAGGTGTTGTCCTGCGTCTGGCCTGGAGTTCTGAAGCTGGAGATCCAGTCTGAGGTGGATCAGTGGTTTGACCATCGACTCGTGCGATACCTGGCTCTGCTCGGCTCGCAGCTCCTCAGCCCCGCACAGCTCAGCAGCGCCACCTGTCTGCCCTACAGGAAACTGTGAGCGCTCACACATCACTAAATACCTCCACACAAATGCCTCGCGTTATACTAAGCAGCTGTCTGTGTGTGCAGTGTTTCAGTTCTCGGAAACAACTACAACTTCTCCAAAACTGACTTCACCCCAGAGGATGTTTACAGCTCCATGAAGGTGTATCTCACAAATGGTAAGAATATGTACTTCGTATTTATGTTTCATAGGTGTAGAGTTGTGCGTGAATCGCTTTGGATAAAGCGTCTGCTAAATGAATATATGTAAATGTGCGTATGTGTTTGAGCTGCACGATTAACCAGTAAAAAGTGGTGATCTTATTCCTGAATGACATCGATATGGCTATGTCTTTTAAACCTTAGTTATGAGTACAATCACACCAGAACATTTAAATCAGCCTTTGACAGCTTCACAAAAAGTTTTTTCAACTAATGTGTTTCAAATATTCAAATAATCACAGAATGTGTTTATAGATTGAATATAAACACTGATGTCTATGGTAGCAATAAAATACAGTAAATCACCTTCTGAAGAGTAACTTGACACTTCAAATAAAGATTGTATGGACTACGTGGTTATGCCAGTACGGTATGTGGTGACAAGTGACTGTTAAAATCATTAATTCAAGAGGTTTGTTCAAAAACGCCAGAAATTAAACAATCAAGTGAAGTCTTTACAAATGAATCGTTTAATCATTCATTCAAACAGGTTTTTTACATTAATTTGTTCAAATTAATGTAATTGTTTAAAAATAGAATTGTGGGAGAATTGTGATCTCTATTTAAAAAAATGTGATTCTCAATTATTCCAGACTCGTTCAGCTGTAGTATGTGTGTATGTTTACATCGTGTGTGTGTGTGTGTGTGTGTGTACAGGTGGCTCACCGCGCTGCTATAACGCCGGCGATCCTCAGCTGAACTCCACAAACTGGCTTGTGAGCTACATTGGCGTCTTCATCAGATACGTCAATCTGTCTGACCTCAACTCTTTCGTGTCGTCTGACCAGGTAACAAGCGCGCTACGTCTGTCCCCTGGTGGAGTTAAGGTTCCTTACCACTTTCACCTTTGGCTTGTTTAGTTGGGGTTTATAAGAAACCTAATGTGACGGCACGACACTCTCGGATGAGAACTGTGTAATGGTGCTATTGTCTTTTGCTTTACCGCTGAAATTGAATTTGTCTCATATTTGATGATTTTGCATCACTGATTCTGTTGTTTTCCTGTTTATTTCTTTGAACCTGCTTCAACACAACCTGTATTGTATAAAGCACGATAGAAATAAATGTGACTTGACTTGAGCATCTCTGAGAAGTGTTTCCAGTAATGGCGCTCTTGTGTTGTTCTGTAGATTGGTGTGTTCTTGGAAAACCCGGAGAACCTTCAGCTGCTCAACAGCACTATAACCATCCAGTCCAGCGTAGCCAACTACTACGTAACACAGCTGTACAATCAGAACCCGTCCTTCAACCCCATCAGGTGTGCAGCTGGTCTGGTCAAATCACAACTAAAGCAGAGCAACTGTAAAATCTGAATCTAGCCTTCAGCTGCACGTGTGTTTGTGTTACAGGCTGCCAGGCCAGTTCCTGTGTGGAATTCCTTCATTTGCATTCGAGCTTCTAGGAGCAGACGACAGTTTGGTGCTCATCCAGCAAATCAACGTGTTCTGTAATGGAACCGAGAGCCCTGAGGTGATCGATCGATCAATCGCTCAATCAATCAATTCATTGATCAGTTGACCTCATTTGACCCGCTTCATCTTCGTTTCAGATCACGTCTGCTCTCGCGGCCAATCTCCCTTCGCTCTCCTCCTCCACCATCCAGCTGCTCGGCAGTCAGAGCGTGGGCCTGACGGAGGCTCAGATAAGCTCCGCCTCTGCTGATGTCATCAAGGGCGCACTGTCGACTCTCAGCGCCGTCGAAGGCTGGAATCAGGGCCAAGCCAACGCAGTCATACAGACTCTCATTCAGTCCGACTTTCCAGTGAGTCTAAATAACACTTTCCCTACATGCTACACTGAATCCTACACTGTTTGCACAATGCACTGCACACTAGTCCCTACACATTAAACCCAATACTCAGTTTTGAGCCCTTCAGAGGCGGATTTATCTCCTTTGGAATGCAGCAAAGGTTCAGTTGCCTGTAAAAGACCTTGATTAGTTGCTTCAGGTGTGTTTGATTAGAGTGGGAGCTGAACTCAACCGGACAGAAAACCTCTGCTATACACTACACTGCAGGGTTATTACAGTTCATTAAACTATAAAAAAATCATTAATTGAAAGAAAAAAATGTTAACTAAAATAAAACAAAATATAAAACATTTTATTTCAGTTAGTTGCAAAGACAACATTTCTTATTTTCATTTAGTCTAAGTACTAAAATTACATAAATTAAAAAGATAAAAATTATATAGACATTTTAAAAAATGACAAAGATACACAAGAAAATTGCTAAAAGTTT